TGATGTAAAAAAGATGTTGAGACTCTAAAAAGAATGCCCAGAAGAGCAACAAAGATAATAGCAATAGATGGAAACTAATCAAGGAAAGAAGCAACCTAGAACTAAGGAGAAATTTCCTGACAGAACAATTAATCAGTGGAACAACTTGCTTCCAGAAGTTGTGAATGCTCCAACACTGTAAGTTTTAAGAAGAGATTGGACAATCTTTTGTCTGAAATGGTATAGGATTTCCTACCTGATCAGGGGTTTGAACTAGAAGACCTCCAAGGTCCCTTCCAAGTTTCTTATTCTGTTTTTTTTTGTTAATTTCTAGAAAAAATTGATGGAGACTCAAATGAAGTTGCTAGATGAGACTAAATCTCCAATTAAAACCAGAACATGTATTGACTGATGAGATTTGTTAGGGTGGAAGTTAATTTCCATGGGGCTAAACTTTGATATTAGCTATTTATGCCCCAAATGTGTACAAAGTAACCTTCTAATTAGGCCAAAGTGCCACCTTGGTCTAAAGATGAGGGCACCAGGCTAGAAACTGAGTTCTAGTCCCACTTTAAGCATAAAATCCAGCTGGATGATGACTTTGGGCCAGTCAGCCTTTCTCAGTCAAATTTATCTCACAGAATTTTTGGTATGGGAAAAATAGGAGGAGAAAGGAATATTATATATGTTGTCATTTTGAGTTGTTTATAAAAATCATAAAGGTGGAATATAAATTAAATAACCTTTTTTAACCTTTGTTTTTAAAACTTTCAATTGAATTCTATACTACATGAAAGCTATCTTCTTTCTATGCAATGTAAATGAATAAAAAAAATGGAGCATCCACACATGCTACTTAATTGGGATTCCGACAAATGGCAACTGTGGTTTCACAAATTGTCTTTTAGAGTTGGTTTAATTGTGTTATAATGGTAAGCAAAAAGGGATGTCTTCCACATCAAAAATACCGCAGCTAGGATCTTGTACTGCCTCTAGGGTGAAGAAGTGACTCTCAGCATCGTTTAAAGTACTGCCAGTTGCTCTGCTTTCCACTTTCTTCTTATGCAAGAATTTCCACCTAAGATTCAACTTTAATGGATCTTTAGTTTTGCTGAGTTTGGCTATGTTCCCTTTGCTATTGCTACCTTAACAGTATAATAGTCAAACTATTTTACCAGGTCTATTTTAACCATACAGGGCAGAATGCTAACTACAATTACTCCGCAATCTGATTACTTGTTCATGTGTCCTGAAAACATCCAGTTAATTCAATGGAAGTCTGCTGGTAGGTATTGACCAGCATTCCAAACACCCCCATTCCACCCCCATATGACTTTTATTTAATGTGTACCTTGCACAAACAGCCCAAAAGAAATTCTGCTGATGCAGCAAATATTTCTACCTCAAACTTTTTAAATATCATAATCAGCTGCTAAAAATACAAATACTTACTGCTAGAAACAGCATGCAATACATGGAGAATGACGAATGTCCAGAATAAAATGACAGTCTGAAAAATAAGAAAAAATGCAAATAAGTGAGTGTGCATTTGTTATTTTTTTAGCATACAAAAATCTTTTCCTTTTAAAAAAAAAGGGGGGAAATGTAGAGCAAACATAAGATATTTTTCCACATTTGAGATACAAAATCTGAATTTGGCAAAATACACCGAATAACCTTAGACAACTGACTATTTCTCATGCCTTCCTTACTGAAAAGTTGTAAAGAAAAATACTTTGCTGAGTCCGTGAAAGAGAAGTCAGGGATATAAAGAAGATCCAAACAGAAGCAAGAAGAGTAATAACAGTACTTTTGTAGTTTACACACAATTTGTAATTTGTATTCAAGATGAGGTTTTTACCCTGAGTTATGTTCACTTGAATTAATAAATTAAAACATTCATCTATATATTGATCA